TCCGACACACGCCGCGGCCGTGTCTGCCGCGAAGGCGTCCATGCGGAAGCCCATCTGCCCGCCGCCCGCGCACAGCTCGCGGTCGCAGCACAGCAGCCGCCGCAGGTCGTCGCGGGCGCCGGCACCTCCCTCCACCCCGCCGCCGCCCGCCGCCACCCCGCCGGGGCCACAGTGCAGCGGCGCAGCCCACACCTCGACCCGGAGCGGCGCCACTCGCCTCGGCGGCGGGAGGAGCCTCGCCGCCGCGCGCACCTGAGCTCGGCCGGCAGCTCGGCCGGCCTCGGGTGAGCTCGGGTGAGCTCGAGCGATCTCGGTCGATCTCGGCGCGCACCGACTCGACGAGAGGAGTGTCGAGGCCACCCGGAGGAAGCTCCCACAGAAGCAGCCCCCCACCCTCCCCGCCATCCTCCCCGCCGCCGCCCTCACCGCCGCTGACCTCGCCGCCGCCGCCCTCGCCGCCGCTGCCCTCACCACCGCCTCCGTCGGCGCCTCCGTTGGCAGCATCGTGAGCGAGCGAGGCGGCGGCAGTCTCAAAGCTGAGTCGGGTGCCGAGAGAGTGCGCGCGGAGCGCGTTCGCCAGCAGCGGCTGCAGCGGCTGCAGCGCCTCTGTGATCCCGAGCGAGAAGAAGTGGAGGCGTTCGTCCAGCACGGCCGCGACCGCCGCGAGGGCCAGGCCGTGGCCGAGACAGAGCACGGTGACGCCGTCGGCCGTGGCGGTGCAGTCGGCAAGGGCGCGTGAGCACCATTTGGCGCTCGAGTTGGCAGCGTGGACCCACCCCTTTGGGAGCAAGGCGGCGGCGCCCCGCCGCAAAGCGCGGGCGATTGTGTCCGAGCTATCGCCGAGCAGCGTGGCGGGGACGGCGGCGAGCAGAGCCTCCTCCCAGTCGCCGTCTTGCGAGAGCTCTGCTGTCAGCGCCTCCCAGGCACCCGCGTCCGTGGGCGCCTCAGCGACGCGGTCGAGCGAAATAGCGACGCGAGAGTCGGGCTGGACACAGCTGTGAGCGCTGTCAGAGCGGTGTTTCGGGAAGGCGCTGTTTGCACAGTGGTGGCGTGTTGACCGCGTGTTGAGCGTGTTGACGCGTGTTGACGCGTGTTGGCGGCGTGCTACGCCGTCTTGCGCGCGTGTTGTCGGCCAAGATGCCCAAGTCGGGCAAGGGCAAGGCCGCCGCGACGTCCGACGAGTCGTGGTACGACAAGCAGAAGCGAGAGAACCCCGACTTCTTGGAGAAGCGCGCCAGGGAGGCGAGAGAGGCACGCGCTGCAAAGAAGGCGGCGACGACGACTGCGGCTGCTCCTGCGCCGGCGCCTACGACTTCGACGAGAACGAGCGCGGCGAGCTCTTCGAGAGCGACGCCGCCGGCGCCGACGCTTTCATCGAAACGGTGGCCCGCCTCGTCGAGGCGGCGCGAGTCAAAGTTGGCGCCGCGGTACGTGCAGCTTCGCCGGCGTCGCCTGGCTCGCGCTCGACGCGCAGCTCGCCAGGTGCATCCTCCGACAAGGCGCTCGGCAAGCGGAAGGCACGCAAGTAGAGACATGTGTCGCTTCCTCTTTCCTCTTCTAACCTTCCTTTTCCCTCCCCATCCCTTCCCGGCCTCCGGCCGGCGCCTGCGGCGCCGTTCTTTTTTTTCTTTTTCCACACCACTGTAAAAAAAATGCCGTGTTTCGACACCGATATCGTTCAAGGACTTCACAGGTAAGTGTAAGCGGAGCAGCTGAGTAGATACAGCGAATCGAAGGGGTGGGGAGAAGGGTGTGGGAATTCGACCCGCTGGGTGCGCTTCTTAGCTCCCCGGCCCTGGATGTGAGGCTACCAACTGCACTCCAAGTGCTCCAATTCAGTGGTCACACCACTGACATTCAGGTGAGCTGGGCGTTGACACAGTCAGTCAGTCAGTAGATGTCAGTGTTACACACGTCCTAACACCAGCAGCATCTCAAGGAAGCAAGCGCCGCGTGTTTTGCCGCCGCGTGGCTCGCTCCGGCCTCCGACCCGCCCGCTCCGTGTGTCACCGACTGGCTCAAAGGCTGCCCGCGGAGCGGGTCGAGAGCAGGGCGATCACCGCCGTGCCGTGCGGGCGTCTTTGAGGCGAAGCTATTCGAGAGGGAGATCCCGGCTCAGGACGGCGTCGAGTCCCTCTCGCCGTTGCCGTGGCGGTGCCTCGGCCCTGCGTCGGTCTCGCTCAGACCCGCGGAGAGTGCCTTGCCGCGCTTCGGTTGCGCTCATCTTGCGGAGCTCGTCGCACAGCCCGCCACCGGCCCGCCGCGCCGTACCCTCGTCGCCTCCACGAGGCAGCTCAGCGTGTGCGAGACCTCCTTTGTGTGCTGCGTGCCCCCGCCACCAACCTCGGCAGCAGCCGCCGCCTCGACGCGCGCGAACGGTGCAGGGACGGTGCAGGTTCAACTCGGCCTCCGATTTGCCACCCCCGACGCAGCTGCGGCTTTCATCGCGTGCGAGGGCATCGGATTGGCCGACGGCGGCGGAGCAGGCGGCCACCGTTCTCGTAGCCGCGTGCAGGGCAGCTCCAGTCCTAGTCCAAGGCAGAGACCAAGGCAGCCACAAGAACGTCACGCCCCAGCCACTCCCGCACGGGCGCCGGAGGGCGACGGCGTGGGTCCAAATACAACCTCGACCCCGCCCCCTCTCAGCGGATGCGACACGCCCCAAACCCTAGCGGCCAGGCAGTCGGAGGTCCTGGTGCTTCGCTCGCAGCTCGGCGAGCGAGAGGCGGCACTAGTGCGGCTGCGAGCCGCGCTAGCGCAAGCGGGGCGGTCACAGGCTGCGCAGGCGGCGGCGATGGAGTCGATGCGGCAGGAGCACGCGGCGGCGATGGAGGAGCTGCAGCGAGAGCACGCTGCGGAGCGCTGGCGCTGGGAGGACGCGCTCGCAGAGGCGCGGTCGCGAGGAGGACCGGATCGCGAACGGTGAGAGGCCTTGAGAAAGCGGGTCGAAGGCGTTTTGCTTAGAAGAAAGAACGAACGAATTGATATATGACGATTGACGTGAGGGAGGGCGAGACGATCCCGCAGGGGTACCATGCGTGCGCCGTGCGGAATCGACCCTGAGTAGAATCTCAAGGTGGAGAATAGCCCCCAGAGACCCTATCCAGTCGAATCCAGTGCTCAAGTGCTCAACTAGCTAGTCGACCACGCCCCACCGTAAGGCATCGCGGGCCTCGAGTTTTGAAAGCAGTTTTCGAAGTTTCGCGCCGAGTTCGACTACGCCGGGCTTCTACCCGGGTACCTGCTATTTTCTGACACGACTCTGGCACGCAACGCGGCCGCGGCCGCCAGCCTGGGACAGGGGGAGCAGGCGCACCAAGAGCAGCCAGCACCTAAGCGCGAGGTCGCTGCTGTTGCAGATCACACAAAGGTCCGCATCGCCCTGTTCTCCTACTACTTCCGATCTGTGAGCAAGGACGCCCTCCGCCAGGTCTGCGGCTCAATCCACCCCTGCCTGTTGCGGAACATGCGACGCGTAATCCATCAGACACTCCGCACCAATCACCCCAGCGCTCACACCGTCCGTCGCCAGCGCCAGGAGCTAATCAACCAGACCGCAGCTTCCTCGGCGCTGCGGGAGGCAAAGGAGGGCTTTGATCACCACTTCTTCACCGACGACGCGGAGGTGCAGGTCAGCGTCAACGTGTGGGGCGGCTGGACCACACACTGGCACGGCAGTGACGATGCACTCAACGCGAGGGTGAGGGCTGTCCGGCGCGTGCCAACTTCCAACGCCACCCGGCTGACTAGCGGGTGGCTGAGGACGAAGTGGATCAAGTTTGGCCCCATTCCGCACGCGCTGCGTGGGTACAGCCACCTGCTGCACGTCGATGCTTCGGGCTTTGTCGCGTACGCCCGATTTGTGAGATACCCGGTTCCGGCGGCGAGTCGAGTGGAGCGCCTCATCCGAGACCATCCCTCCTCGGCTCTCTTTGCCACGCGGCACCCGCGCCACGTGACGGTCGATCAGGAGTGGAGAGTGACGACGTGGGAGGGGCTGCCCGGAGGCCCACTCGAGAGCCTCGCCTCGCTGCAGCGGTACGAGAGCGACATGGCGGCGACACGGATCATCGGCGTGGCGAATGCGACGGCACTCGCGATGGGCCTGTTCCTGCGACAGATCAGCCCAATAGCCAGCGGCGCGGTGCGCGCTGTCAGCCGCGCGTTCGAGGAGACCTTTGACCATCTGGTTGAGTATGGCCTGCGCCGCGACCAGAATGTCTTCCCAGTCTCGCTGCTGCACGAGCAGTTGCAGTTTGCAGCGGGCTCGATGCTGTGCGGCCCAGCGGACGGCGTCCTGCTCTACGCAAGGAGGCTGCCGAGGTGAAGCGGGCGCTGCAGTCGAGACGTGAGAGGCCTGTCACATTTGGTTGTTGCGGCTCCGCGGCGTCCCAGGCCGGGTCCGCACGCGGCGTGGTCCGCCCGCTGACGCGCACGCAGTCGCACACAGCGCGGCACACAGCGTGTGGTCTACGTATATACGAGCCGCCAACACACGGCCGCAAGAGTTTTTTTGTGCAATGTGCTTCTTAGCCCCCCGGCCCTGTGGAGGATCGGGTGAAGCGCCATGTGTGTAAGGCCGCCAGAGCGCATTGACACCAATAGGACAGGTGCAAATGTTTGCTTCGAGTGAACTATTGGTCCTGTCCTGACACGTCCGACGAGACTTTTAACGTGGCTTGCGTGAACGCTTAAGTGACACGGTGTAGATCCGTGGAAACGAGAACGGCGGCGGGGGGAGCGGCGGTGGGGGCGGAAACAGCGGGGGCGGGAGATACGGCGGGAGAGGCGGGGGAAGCGGGCGGCGGGGGGGCGGCGGTGGTGGCGGGAACGGTGGCGGGGGAAATGGCCGCTCTGCCTGCCGCCTCGTCGTCGCAGACGCCGCACTCGCCTAGGCAGTTTCCCTGAGGTTTCCCAGACGGTTCCTAGAAGGCTCACAATCCGCGGCACAGCTTTCGCCGTCGTCCAAGCCGGGAGAACCGCCTATAGAAAGAAGAGCGTCGCGCCTGAGAAGAAGAAACGCTCG